TTTTTCAACGGAGTGTAATTTAAACTCAAAGTTGTTGTTGATTAAAATGGCAACACTTCTCGACTGACTACTATAGTTGCTAAAGTAAGCTTCATAACCCCATTGACTTCTAATAATTTTAGATTCTTTGTCTGTAAAGTGTGTGTCCTGCAAAAAATAAATATTAAATTTCTTATCACGAATATAACCAAATACATCTTTTCTTTTCCGACTGTCCCCGATCCCCTGTACATTAAAACTAGCTATTGTTATACCATTTGACATTCTAAGTCAGAATCAGATAACCTTTGTATTGCCATGAATACTCGACATTTGTTTGAAAGAAGTAAATTACCATATAACACAAGTACCAAATATAAATCAACTATAATCAATTTTTGAAGACACGTACATATTGAACCAAAAAAAGTGAATGATTGACTCATACTTTAAAGAATGAAAAACCCGTTAAGTGGAGTTTTTATAATGATGCTTAACTTAGCATTATATATATATATATATAAAAAAACAAAAAATTCAGAGGTAACAAAAAATACCGCTGACTAAGGTTTAATCTTGCTTAACGTCTAACTTAAAACAGCTGTTTGTATGTAAATATGTATACAGTACTTTATCGTGTTGTTTTCAGTTTATAAGACATTACAAATATTTCTTAATGTATGAGCACAAATTTTCAAAAAGTTCATGTTTTTATTTGTCAATTGCGCATGTTAAACTAAATAACCTTACTTTTGTAATTAAAACATATATTACATTTAGATATGCACAAAAAGTCTCAAGTAAAATTTCAGTGTTCAATGTATAAATAACATTAAACTAATGTTTAGAAAAATATTTGCATGGTTGCTTTATTTGTACCCTTCAAAAAAAAAATGAAACAAAACAATCATCTACAAGTATATGTAGTTTTTGAGTATATAAAGGCACATCATCATATGTAGTTTGTGAGTGCAGTTATCACAAATGCACTGTATCTTAAACAAAATGAGTTTCAACATCATTAAGTAATACCGCTTTCAACGGTAAAAAATTGGAACATATACATCCAATATCTAAGTAAAATTTAATTATATATGTCTCAAATAAAATAATACCTTAAACAAAGTGTGACTTTTGTAAATATGTGAAGATGTACATGTGTTTCGACATCATTAAGTAAAACCGCTTTCAACGGTAAAAAATTTGGAACATATATCAAAGTATAAATTTAATTGTATATGTCTCGAATAATATACATGTAATACCTTAAACAAAAGGTTACAACGGAGAAAAAATTCGAACATATACATACAATATCAAAGTATAAATTTAATTGTATATGTGTCGAATAAAAAAAACAACAAAAAAACCCTTAAACAAAGTGTGACTTTTAAACATATGTGAAGATGTACATGAGTTTCGACATCATTAAGTAATACCGCTTACAACTGGAAAAAAATGGAACATATACATACAATATCTCGGTATAAATTTAATTGTCTATGTGTCGAAAAAAAGAATACATCATTAAGTAATACCGCTTTCAACGGGAAAAAAAATGTGGAACATATACATAAAATATCTAAGTATAAATTTAATCGTATATGTGTCGAAAGACCGAACTCAAATTTCTGTTAAATTGAATATGAAAAACAGTGAGTGTAAAAGGTATAAATCGCACATATGTACTTATATGAATTTTCAATAAAATATATAGATATGTGTGTAGAATGTCAATACGTGTATAAATCCTACACTTTCAGTCAGGCTTAGTTAAATTTATATTGATAACTTCATGCTGTAAAAATATCAAGGTTTTGTCACTCGCTAGTTCTCTTTATGTTCAATCGAATATGAAATACAAAGAGTGAGAAAAGTATAAATGAATCATATATATAAGTTTTCAATAAAAAACTATAGATATATTTATAGAATTTCTGCAAGTGTATAAATGATAAAATGTCAGTCAAGCCAAATGGAATTTATATTTAATACAGTATCAAGTTTTTATCAATTAGTAGTTCTTTTTAAGCAAGAGGTCTCGACAAATCCGTTTGAATATCCAACTTTATCTTATTACCATTTGACAATATGGCAAATATTTTCCCCTCATCAGACCACACAGATTTAACATCCTCGCGGTTCAATAATGTTTGTACAAGTTTAGCGTTTTTTGATGTCAAATCCTCTCTGATCACTATTCGCGAGCCTTTTAAGTTCCTTCGAGCACGTATAACACTCTTCTTCGTAGAACGACGCACGAACTTGCATATCACGACCCGGTTTCCGTCTGTACGAAACTGTCCCAGCCTATGCGCAATGCATATATCCTCCATTTTAATACTCAGGTTAAGTTTCTCGTTTATGATACTCACAACACGTGTAGTGGTTTCATCGGCGGTCTCGTGCCTATTTCTGTCGTCGATCCCATATATCCGTACATTGTTTAAGCGACTATATTGTTCTTGTTCGTTAATCTGAAATTCATTCCATTTTAAAGTGCGATCCTTTTCTATAATAATTTCTTTCAATTTGGCATTATTTTCTCTCACTTTCTGAATGTCTTGCTTTAAGACGTTGATTTCCATCTTTATACCTTCCGTTTCCGTTTTCAATTCTTCTAATTCCGTTACAGCTTGAAGCATCTTATTCTTTATACCTCTTACTTGTTCGTATACCTTATCAAAATCTTTCTTTATCCCTGTAGCTAGTTCAGTTTTGAAAGCAGTAAGACGGTCCGATACAAACTTTTCAGTTGTGATATTTTCTAAACTTTTTTCAATGTATTCCTTTGACGCAAGAGTATTGATTTGTTTACTAAATGACTCCATAACTTCGATAAGCTTAGGAATACTAGGCTCATCCTCCTTCATCATACTCTGAAGCATAGCGTCTATACGTATTTGCTTGTCACCTATCGCGCCGTCTGTACTACTGGTACTAGTACGCGCATTTGTATCAGTCTGATCCGTTTTCTTTTTACTTCTTCCTCTCGTCATTTGTTTTTCCTTGATAATGTTTATTTCTTTCGTTTTATCGTCCATTGTAATGTATACATTACGATTATATAGTTAAGAAAACCTCCATTTACATTATTAATTGAGAGAGCAAACATAAACGATAGCTTTCGAAAAAAGGTATTTCGTATCGTTCTGCCTTCTATGCAAGACATATATTCATGTCTATTTGGGTAATATAAATTTATTCAGATAATTATTTTCACCATTACCATTTATGTCGGATTTCTGTCTGGAATATAAAATTACTTGAATGGAATACCAAGAGTGAGTATACATTGTATGTATTATAACTAATTCATTTGTAACTAGCTAGCTAGCGTAAAACTTGAATGCAACTTGTGACAGAGTCACAATTTCACACAAAATATGACTTAAAGAAAATTATGAACTGCAAATCATAAAAGGTTTTTTTCTCAATTTGCTACAATTTTGTAAAATTTGTTTTGTTTACAGTTATGATTTTTAAAAGACTGTAGAATATTCTAAACAAACACTATTAGGTATAAGGTTGTTTTATATGGTCAATTTGTAATTTGATGTATGCAAATAATGACCTGCATTTAGTTCGATTTTACATGGCAATATCTTCAAGAAGACCAGAGTAAACTTGACATATACTCACACAAGACAGTTGCCTTTCAGGTCATAGAATTGAATTTGGTTTGATTTATGTTATAACTGGCTATAATTTTGTTATTAACGATCAGATTGTCTCCATACTTTGACATAACAATTATTTGGACAAGACCTTCATATGTACCAAATTAACGTGACCTTATCTCATCAATAACATTGACCTTAAAGGTTAAATTATTTGAATTTGCTTAAATTTTAATAACTTTGTTATTTATGAACAGTTTTGATTCATACAAAACACTTATGACTAAACCAAATTTAATTATTCAATTATGACTTTGAATTTTAAACGGCATTGACATTGAAGGTCAAATTATTAAAATCTGCAAACATTTTCATACCTTTGATTTTCATTTACGGATTAAACTAAGTTTCTTTGACAGAGCCATCATTTTGAAAAATAAAATAAACAAATAAATAAATAATAATTATAGAAAAAAAGAAAAAATACCATGACCGTTATATGAATTTGACAAGATCAAATCATTGTATTTTATCTAAATTATCATAACTTTTTCATATATCTACGGATTTGATTCATCATGAACCAAATATGACCATGACCATTAAATAACATTGACCGTCAATGTCAAATTATTGAATTTTGCTTTAATTGTGACACTTTACCATTTTTTATTGTTTGATTTATACTTGAAAAAAAAACCCCAACAACAAAAACAACAACAACAACAACAACAACAGCAACAACAAACAAACCAATTATATATTGAAACAAACAAACAAACAGACAAACAGACAAACAGACAAACAGACAGACAGATAGACAGACAGACAGACAGACAGACAGACAGACAGACAAACAAACAAACAAACAACAACGCTCATTGCAAAACTGATATGTTGTAATATTCAAGTTTGACTGGCCTAATTGACCGTCTACCCTTAAATTGCCATAACTTTGTTGTTTATGGTAATGGATAAATTTAATTAAAAGAAACTCCAACATGTTGAATGATAGAAGTTCGACCTTTATAAATGACCTTTACTGTCGAGGTCAAATATTAAATTCTAATTTACTTTTGTACAAGAAAGTGCATTTTCTTCGAAAACCCTTTAGAAATAAGAAAATGTTTTTTTAAATAGAATTTTTTAATATCCAAAATAATACATGCATAGAGAAATAATGCATGCATATAGACTATCAGAGCAGTTTATTAACTCCTTTTTTCTTTTTCTTGTATATCTTTATGTGATTTAGCTTCTATACTTCATAAATGGTTTAAGTCTTCTATTCTCTATTTTCCCTATATATTATTACAAACATATGTCATCTATTATCTACGTAAATGCTATAATTAGTATGTATGCATTCTTCTCCTGAAAACAAACGAGACTTAAACGTGCTTCCAAAACGCAGTTTCATTCTTTACAGCATAAATCTGTTTGATAAATACATTTAATGTATTGAATTAGAATTCAAATTAAATGCATAACCATTAACAGTGTCAAAATACATAACCACGGGAAAGTGGCTGATTAAATTCATGTTTTCGATTTTTCAATCTTTGCTAAAACCATACAAATTGTCTGTTTTGTTTTTATTAAATTTCGTCATGTTCAAATGATTGTATGTCTCCGAATTTTCTAGATCTTCTTTGTCAAACTGTTGCATAGGTATTCCTTGCTGATCTTGCATCCCATAGACATTGTCCGTTTTAGAATATTTTATTTGATCTCTACCAGTATGACTATATTCATCGTCGCCAATAACTACGCTATTATAATTAGCCGGTTCATTTCTTTGACTTGATGCAGTTCCCGTAGTATCGTACGTTGCGTCGCTTTTGTTTGCTGTCCTCTCTGTTATATCATAAACATTATCAGACATTTCTATTTTCGCTTCATTTAATGTGTTATAAACGTTGCGTTCATTATCCTTTACCATTGACTGTTGTTCAATTCTTGTTAAGTCTTTTGTCGAGACTGGATCACCAGCTTCCTTTTCAATCTTCTCAAGTATAAAGTAATGCGGAGAAGGACTACCGTCTTTATCACTCCCTTTAGCATTTTGATCTGTTAGATTAGATTCCATTTTGGCATGTAAATGTTGTACATCTGGTATCTTCACACTTTGGCTTTCAATCGGTTGATTAACTTTACCCCGTGGCTCTTCTACTATTGAAGAATAATGTGAAGAATCATAATTGTCGTCTGCAGTGTCTACATTCAATGTATTCATATATTCCGATTTGTTAAAGGCAGGATTCATATGACCGATACTATCTATTCCACGATGTGATGTCCCTCCTTTATTTGTACTTTCCTGCTCTTTGATGGGCTTAATAGACTCATCATTCCTGCAAAACTTTGGTATGCTATTCCTGTAAAACGTATAATAATTTTATATTTCTTAAAAATGCTGAACGAATTTTATTTAATTAATCTTTATTATATAAATGCATCTCTATGTACATTAATGCATCCCTTAAGCATTTTTATCACATCTCTGCTCTGTAATCTATTAATTAAGTCAAATTGCTTAAATTGAATACTTAAAACTGCGTTAATATATAAAAATGAAAACTCTAAATATATGAGCAGAGTTCAAGCGATCATACTTAGTTTTCTAAACCATACTAAACTATCATACATATGATCAGAGATGCTTGTAATTTGACAATTAAGCTAATTTTACCTTCTTTTTAGGATTATCACTAAGGCGACAATTAGAGCTGTTACACACACTGACACAACAACTGAGATAACAATGTAAAGATCTGAAAAAGTATATTATATAGTACCATATAGTTTTTATCTGTATTTACTTTTGATGTGTATTAATGGGAAACGAGTATAGGCACATTAATTATGCCTCAGAAACCCATATTTCTTAAAGTCAAACATCAAAATGATTTTTAGAATTATGCATGAAAGCATTTCTGAGGTATAATAGACCTTTAACAATCATCAAAAATGTTTCGAATTGTATTTATTAGAATACGTATAATATTTATCAGAATACGTATTATATTTATCATCAATAATCGAAATAATTGTCTTTCTCAAATTGGTTGCAGATAATGACGACCAAGTACATAATAATGTAAGTTACAAAGGTTCAAAGTTAAAAATTTTGTATCTCTTTTATTGAATAAAAAAACTTACTTGAATCTTCGTTTGATTTCGTTTCTTCCGGCACTAAAAGTAAATACAATACATTAGTAGATTGAGAAATTAGTTGTATTTTATTCGATGCTATATTTACAATAAGAATTAAACTCATAAAACCATGAAATGGAATAGGAAGGATGAAGGTTCTTATTTAAATCTTCGCTTATACACAATGATGTTTTAGACTGATTTCATATATGAGCCGCGCCATGACAAAACCAACATAGTATGTTTGCGACCAGCCTGGATCCAGACCAGCCTGCGCTGGATCCATGCTGGTTGCAAACGTACGATCTTGGTTTTGTCATGACGCGGCTCATTATTGGAATTATGTCTGGCGTGTTTGCCTTTTCAATAATTATCCGTTAACGAGCACGTATCTGATCTCAGAATCTTGAGGATAAAATGTACCTCTAACGCACAATGCTCTCAGTTCGTGCCCAGACGAATGAACAATCCATTCTATTTTACCATTTGATGTTGTCGAAACATGTCCATAGCTCTTTATCTGTGGTGGTTTCAGCGTTGCTATAGTTGCTAGGAAGAAAATATTATAATCTGAAAACTTGATACATTCGAAAATAAATTGAACATAATTATACGCTTCTAAATTCTTTGAATATTTTAATTTTTGGCTTAAAATATTAGCATGTTTTATCACGACAAATGATCTCTGACATTGAGCAAATTACCCGCTAATTCATGTGGTATAAGTGGCTGGTCACTGGCGGGTGAATTTGTTACAACTATGGTTAGAAGATGGACTAACCTGCCGAGCTTTAACCACACATGTTCTGTTAAAATCAACGTCAAAAACTATGGACTCAAACACACAAAGTCTTGCTGCTAACTACGACGTTGAAACTAAGATATTTATTGATGCAAATGATTTTTATGGTTTTCGCTTTTAATTATATTAAAATATTGTATCTTAAGTATTTGTCAGTTTAGATAACCTAAAATACGAAATTATAGTCTTAAAAGCAAACATATGTTTAAACAGTACTATTATCACAACCGCACCCCCCCCCTACAAAAACATGCCTGACTTGTAATTTATATTTTTGTCTTTGTCATGTAGAACTTATTTATACATTTTTATTTCTTATTATTTTTGACCTACCGCCATATTTTAATATTGCGTTTTCCTTCTTAACATAATGTTTACCACCTGGTGTTAAGAGTTTGGTCGACCCAGATGAACATAAACGGCTTAACATATTAATGTTGACATATTGAACATTATCATCACCTATAAATTGAAAAAAATATGTAAAGTTAAGCACGTTTAAATGATACATATAAATAAGACTATGGTAATCGTAAAGAAAGTTATGAATATAATGAATTTTATAAATATACATGTATAATTTAATTCTACGAAAATCATCTTATAAATAAGAGTTTAGTACTGAAATTTAGAAATGATAAAACAGCAAGTTTTTAATCAAGCATTTAAATGGCCAAATATATAATAATTACGAAACCAAAATTTCTTCTCTTTTTCCAAAGAAAAAGTTTTCGCGAAGAAACTGCCCGTAATTGAATATGAGAATGCAGGAATGCAACTGTTTTTTATTCCCTCTTAAAACTATGACTGGAATGCATTGTTTTCTCTTAAAAATAAGACTTGTACATCGATGAATTAATTAATATATGACATTAAAGTAAAATTACAATGCGGAATAAGTGTCTAGAACAATTTTTACTTTCCTTAATTCATTGTGTTAAATGTGTAGAAAGTAAAGCATAAAAGTATAAAATATATTTTGGAAAACTAAGAATTAAAAAATGTATGGTTTCCTGCCTCATAACGTAACTGAACAGGGGCAGATAATCCAGACTATATAACAAATGACCGCCATTTTAGGTCACATGATATACCTATCGCCACGTGAGTAATAGTGATGTAACCGATGTAAGGAGTTTGCCAATTATCGGCTGTACTTTTTCATTTAACTAATGCATGCAGAAGTAAGTATTTCAACAATGCATGCCTACTATAATTGCTTTGTATAGACAATATAACGAAACGTACACAAATGTGCACAATAACGAATTTTGGAAGAAGTGATTAATTTTCATCTTGAATGTTCTAAAACGTGTTGATAACGGTAAAAGACACGCGTATATTCTAAATTTTAATATTATACATGTATTTAAACCAATTTATACAAATTCCTAATATCAGTTGCTTTATTTGATGCTCACAAAATAAACAGTTAATCACCCCAATGAAAAGCAACATTAAAGACGTGCATGATTAAAGGCTATAAGCCATTCCCATGACTTTAAAGCCGAACGAAGTTTAAACTTGCAGGTTTTATTTTCCAAGAAAAAAATCTACATTGAACAAAAATCAATCACGGACATAAGTGTTTGTTGAAAAGAAATCTGCATATAAAATAACAGGAAGATTCAGCTTACCACTTGTATAAATTTGGTACAGTGTTATATAACCTTCCCTGTTACATAGCTTGCAATTTTGTCCTTTGCAATGCATGTCACAAACAAGATCTGGAGAAATGTTTATTGGCTTTGATCCAAAGCATAAACACTAAAATGGAAAAACAACATAAAGAACCCCATACAAACGTGAAATTTAAGCAACATTGTCCAAAGAGATATAAAATGTTTTTGGTGTTCATACATGTTCGATATGAATATGAGATTAACGTATCTTGCATCTTAATGTTACTAAATATTATTTAATCTTCTAATTTACGACTTACAGTTGTATTGCCAAATCCAAAATATGGAGCATAATCACAAAAAGAAAAACATCTTCCTGGGCTGCTTGTGCTGTAAAATGACAACCTTTCGTTACTTTTTTCTTGCAGACAACCTGTAAAATACATCTTAACTCCTTTAAACACTTGCAGCAAAATCAACAGACATATGCCACAAGAATTAAGACCGTACGACTTCCATGCTTCTATGAATGCATACACTACAATCTGACAAGAATATTTGTTTGATAATTCGTTCCAAATTTTTATTGTCTAATACCGATAATCTTTTACACTACCAATGTTGGTAAGGTAATTATAGCAGATGTACGGGTATGTATCAAGTTACTATCAACATATAAAGCATGTCAATGTCTGTTAATAAAGGTTTAAATTGAATATCAGGATTTTAACAAAGTTATTTTGTCACTTGCTGTATATTATGAAAAAAAAACCCCGATAAACCAGGTCAATACAAATGAAAGTGAGATATAGATATTACAATATTTTCCTTTGGTAGCCATAACATGACCGAGTTATTCTCTACCAACTTTTATATAAGACCCTTTTCTATTATCCACCCGTTTCAGTTCCAAAAGATAAAATATGGCTCTTCATGTCGAGTTATATCAAACTTACTGTCATTTGCAATTGGCAATAAAGGTATTGTTGCAAACACGTTAACAGTTACTTCTGAAAACAGGTTTGTTTTTTGTAAATTTTCTACGAAATCGTGAAAGACTGATGATATAAAGACCTATTTAAATGTTGCTTCTTTTCCGTTAGGTACAATAATTATGCTTATTTCAAAAGTAAATTACCCAAAATTTCAAATTTCATTAACGCTAGATAATATCCAATCCACACATCCTCTGATATATCTTGGTTTGGAATGTCTAGTGAACGGTTGTTTAAATCTAATAAGGGTGTCGCAAGGGTGCACTCTTTTGAAGCAGCTTCCCATGTAGATTTTGTCTGTGACATGTAATACGGTACACCAGCTGCAATAAATCACAATCTGATATAATTGGTTCATTGATTCATTGGTTCATTACACTACCTTTCTGCTTATGTTTAAAGCAAACAATTATTAAATTATTTTGAAATATAAAATGTATTTTCAATCTATTCAGGGTCTGCAATCATGTCAAGCCAGTAGTTCGTGACTTTTTAAATTAGAATTCACCATGTATCTGACGGGTCAAACTGATTAACGAGTTAAAACACACAATGACTTGCAAAATATATAGATTTAAGTCGTTGATGGGATGATTTAATTTCCGTTCAATTAGTAATGATATTCTTTACAACATCATCACAGGTGAGCTTGCGGAAATAGATACACACAAAAACAAACAAAAGAAGATCACAAAGCTTCTTATAAATTATATAAAGGTAAAACGCTTAGAACTGGCAAACTAAAAGCTACGTTCTACTGGAAAGTTACGAACAAAGTCAAAACAGCATCGGTAGACACATCCAACTCCAAATACATACACTTTTAGTTGGGATGAAAATATTTGTAAATTCATCGATAAATATTGGAGTTGTAAATTACATTATAATGGATAGATCTTCAATTGACACTTTTTCCATAATTATTTCAATTATTGATAAACACAATAGAAACGTTTCTTTTGGATATTCTTATGCAATGTTGCTTGAATGGAACATGTCAATAAAGTTCTAAATGATGTATAATGAACATTGTGAAACATGATGAATATAATTATCTAGATAATTATCCGCTATATAAATATGAAATCTCTCATCATGTATCTCACAATTTTCATAATATATACAATTCATTTTGCGGTTTGTCTGATACTAAATACTGTCAGAGTAATAATTTATTGTGTTACAGACCTTTCATGATAGACCACATTAATGCCTAGTGAAACACTGTTTTGATAGGTTTTTGTAGGTGCATTATGTTATCCTTTATTGCAAAAGACACGTTATGAGCAAAACACATCTTTTAAGGTATGAACATACCACTAATATGTGCATGTATCTTACAAAATACGGAGATCATATTGGAATAAGGTCCTCGTCATGGACATAGTTATCATTTAACTGTGCAAAATGACGTTAAAATGAAAAGCGGTACACCGCTTCTCGCTCAAAATGGACTCAAATCGTATTAAAAAAATCGATATTCAATTAAATTCTGGGTATAGTTCTTTATTATATGCCCAAAAGGGCATATTATGTTATACCCCATGGCGTCCGTCTGTCTGTCCGTCCGTCCGTTAGCAATTCGGTTTCCGGAGCATAACTTATGTTCCATTTGGCCGACAATGTTCAAACTTCATAGGATGATTGTCCATATTGGGTAGAAGCCCCCTATTGATTTTGGGGTCAAAAGGTCAAAGGTCAAGGTCACTATTACCTTAAAACTGAAAACAGTTTCCGATGCATAGCTTAAGTTCCATTTGGCCCACAATGTTAAACCTTCATAGGGTGATTGTCCATTTCGGTTAGAATACCCCTATTGATTATGGGGTCAAAAGGTCAAAGGTCAAGATCACTATTACCTTGATACTGAAAACAGTTTCCGGAGCATAACTTAAGTTTCATTTGACCCACAATGTTCAAACTTCATAAGATGATTGGCCATATTGGGTAGAAGACCCTATAGATTTTGGGGCCAAAAGTCAAGGTCACTATTACCTTTAAACTGAAAACAGTTTCCGGAGCATAACTTAAGTTACATTTGACCCACAATATTCAAATTTCATAGGATTATTGGCCATATTGGGTAGTAGACCCCTATTGATTTTTGGGTCAAAAGGTCAAGGTCACTATTACCTTAAAACTTAACACAGTTTCCGGAGCATAACGTAAGTTCCATTTGGCCCACACTATTCAAACTTCATAAGATGATTGTTTATATTTGATAGAAGACCCCTATTGATTTTTGGGTCACAAGGTCCAAGTCACTATAACCTTAATACTGGAAACAGTTTCCGGAGCATAACTAAAGTTCCATTTGGCCCACAATATTCAAACTTCATAGGATTATTGGCCATATTGGGTAGTAGACCCCTATTGATTTTTGGGTCAAAAGGTCAAGGTCACTATTACCTTAAAACTTAACACAGTTTCCGGAGCATAACGTAAGTTCCATTTGGCCCACACTATTCAAACTTCATAAGATGATTGTTTATATTTGATAGAAGACCCCTATTGATTTTTGGGTCTCAAGGTCCAAGTCACTATAACCTTAATACTGGAAACAGTTTCCGGAGCATAACTAAAGTTCCATTTGGCCCACAATATTCAAACTTCTTAGGATGATTGTCCATATTAGGTACAATACCCCTATTGATTTTGGGGTCTCAAGGTCAAAGGTTAAGGTCATTATTTATAACTTAAGTATTAATCAACCTACAGCTGTATTATTTTATAGGATGAACAGCTAATTGCTATGTATTACAAATGCTTTACCCTTACTAGAAAAAAAACAACACTTTCGGGCATATAATGCTCCGCCTAGCGGTGCTCTTGTTATATTTTGTAGATTTTTCCGATGTTAGTGATTCAGTTAATATGTGCAATAATTTCAAAGTGATATGAATTAACTAGATTAAACGACAATGTTCAGCTATTTTTCACATTGGCAATTTGGAAACATGCAAAGCTAAATCAAGCCAGTACTGTGATTATTAACCTTCTTCATAAATCTCCACAATCTGTAAAACATTTTGCATCAATATAATTATTGATAATATTTATATTGTCTCTGGTTGTATATAAAGAAACACCTGATTCTAACTGAATCTTAGTCCAGAATTCATTTTGTCCATTGCAATCCATTTGAAATAAAATCAGTATTTTTGTACATTGAAAATCAACATTGCATAATACTTTGGTACTTTTAATTTCTACAAATATTTCTGACCTAAATGTTTACTAGTATTCTCTGAACCAATCTGCTGGCTCTGCGAGTGATTTTTTTAAATATCAAAATGTGCCTATGCTAACCTTGTTGTCCTTTGAACAAACCAAATATTAGCTTGTTTAGAAGTACTGTTTATTCCTGAACATATCTTTACCTAAATATCTTTGTTTCTGAACCTTGGAGTGATTCATATAAGAATATTAAAATGTGCCAATGTTAACCTTATTGTCAAATACTATCAAATAAAAGTAATTAACTAATTAATAGCTTCAGGTTTTTTTTCTGTAGGCATTTAAGTAATGGTTTCATATCACAAACAGGTATAAATCTAACAACTGAGAGCGTTCATGAAATACACCCATCTATGATAATGTTGACCTACTGGTTTATCTTCAACTTGTGGTAAAATTGCTGACAATAAAGATTTTTAAGCTGGATATTGCACGGTAAATATTTGTGAATTTATTCTACAAAACAAAATCAACTTATTGACCTATAGACGTTGAAAAAATGTCCTTCAGTGCACCAGCTATTGAATGACTTGTAATTGACATTGCTTCAATTTCTAGGAAATTTAGGATAAATGAACCAACACCATTGTTTAAAATTGGCGTCCAAAATAAATGTAATGAAGGAACGGATTCGATTGAGATTTACGTATTTAAAGAAAACTTGAAAGATTAAGTTGCGCAAAGAAAAAGGTATAAAAATTTCCAGTCGTATTAAAACAACATAATTAAATTGTTGATAAATTTCTCACCTTCAGTCCGTTGAAATACACGTAAGAGAAATAACATTACAGAAATTATTAAAAGATCATTAGCCATTTTAAATCCCAACACTATCTATAACTGAATTCATTTCACCAAATAAAGAAGGAAGTTAAATATCCGCGACTGTAAGCCAGTGATAAGATAAAATACATCATTTTTGCAATATGTGTATGACCTTTATCGACAACTGTATTGATATATTCATTTTGTCTTTATCATTTGACCCATTAAGATTGGTTTATCGGCAAATAACTTTAAGGTAGAACGCGACACTTTGCGAACTTTCGAGTAGCGTCTTGAAAATTGGCATGCAAAAAATTGACCATATTTCTGATTGGATTTCGTTGATTTTATTTCAATAGTTTCAGCCAACCTTTGTACACATGACGTCAAAGTTGACCATCAAAGCCCGTTTTTGAACATGACGTCGTTGCGTATCCTTGACAACTGTTACGGGTATTTCAACGCCATTGGCGGACAAAATATCTTAAATCCTACAGCATTTGACGGAAATTATTTTTTCCTTTAAGCAGATATAAAAATATTGTTTTACGCCGAAAATTCTTTGAGAAATGGAAAGAAAATTGTCAATTTTGTGAAAAATTTGACGTTCAGTTTAGCCGCAATTTTCGGCTTTAAATCGGCTTGATAAAAAATTCCTGAAATAAAGTTTTGATTTTTATCTTTAAACGTCCTTTAAAATGTATACTTAGTCAAAATAACTAATAAAATTAGGGGGTCACCGACTCAATTTTTTCGGTACACGTGATTTTATTTCCACCACCCCGTGAGTAATTTTGTTTCGAAATTCGACGTATGCAGATACGTTTGAGACTTCAAAGTGCGGCAATAATGTTCAGCTTATCAGGAGAATTGTTCTAGAGTTTTACTAATACATATAAAACAACAACAACAATGTTCCATTTCAAATTCTTAACATTGTACGAAAAACAAACGATTTTTTTTCTTGTTTTTAAGCATGATTAATAACTTCATAAGGAATTGTAAACAGACGCATGTAAAGAAAATTACGTCAGGTGTTCAACGGCAACGCGTACGCTGCGCAAACAAAAATAAATACAACTGAGAGTAATCATTTGCGGTGTTCCTTTTTGATATTGTAATACAATAAGATAAATAAACTTGAATCGAGAAATATGCCTTATGGAACAAAAAGCAACTATATATTTTATGTAAATTTAGAAATTTACGGAAATTCAATCATAAATTAAAACGTAGTCAACAAGAAATTCTGTAAATCTATACATTTTTGCATTACCCACACTATGAGTGATATACTGTGAGTGATATGTATTTATTTCACCTATTAAAAACCAGAATTTGAATTTCACTTGTAATCAAAAACTATTGCAACAATTTGACAGAATTGGCGAAATAATGACAAATTAAAATAAACGGTTCATAAATGAAACTTAGTCAATTATATTAGCGTGAAGCAAACAGTCATGCTTGAAACGTTAGCTCAGTGGGTGTTGGATTACAGATGTAGCACGTTCGATTCTACAAATATCTGTAATACATATTATCTCGTTTTGCTTATCATTTTAGAATATCATAGTGTTAAAAATAACGATTAATTGAGGATTCACCATCAACGCTGTATTAAAAACATTACTATCAAATCGGCCTTTGCAAATATTCATTATTCACTGTATAGCCAAATTTATGGTAGAATTTATTTTGAACAGGAAAATTTAGAAACAGTACTTTAAACATGAAATATAATGAAACACTGTAAATACACGTCTGCGGATTTTAGCGAACCGGCGGCCCTGAGCTAGATACTGCACAAAGGAGTGTTGCGTTGTAAATCTTTATACAAAATAAAGATATTTCAATATATATTGTCATTATTTTTTGCCTGTACATGCTACAGGCACTTTAGAGGATCTGTCGATGTTTCACTAACTATTTAATCAGTATGCAACTGACATTTTAATAAAACCGAGAAATATAACATTTTAATCAAAGTTTTATTGTTATTCTGACAAATGTCAGATCAGACTATTATTTCTTTCCTCTTGTAGAAAGTGGGTAATTCTGAAGTACATCTTTATTCACTGTTTTATATACAAAATCTGTATTTACAAGAATAAAAAAAACATATTTTGGTAATATCTGATCGTGTAATTAAAAAAAATACGTATTTTAGTAAATACGAACTTCATTCAAAGTTCCCGCATAGTACGAGTGTACGGATCACGGTATATTAGTCATATACGTATTGCGTTATATACGGTCCCGTACATCAAATTTCACTTATTTTTACCTGTCTATCTATAATATACGGAATTCCGTACCCTTTATTGTATCCATATATTTTCCGCAGTGGTCATAATAGCGTAAAATGCCGTAAAAAGCGGGATTTTGACACAGGGCGATCGTTTTAATAACATCAAAAAACCAAACGCCCCGTGATAGCGTGACTTTTATCCAAAGGGGTGGGGGAAATAAAATCACGTGTACCGAAAAAATTGAGTCGGTGACCCCCTAATTTTTTTAGTTATTTTGACTAAGTATACATTTTAAAGGACGTTTAAAGAAAAAAATCAAAAATTTATTTCAGGAATTTTTTAATAAGCCGCTTTAAAGCCGAAAATTGCGGCTAAACTGAACGTCAAATTTTACACAAAATTGACAATTTTCTTTCCATTACTCAAACAATTTTCGGCGTAAAACAATAAATTTTATATCTGCTTAAAGGAAAAAATAATTTCCGTCGAATGCTGTAGGATTTAAGATATTTTGTCCGCCAATGGCGTTGAAATACCCGTAACAGTTGCCAAGGATACGCAACGACGTCATGTTCAAAAACGGGCTTTGATGGTCAACTTTGACGTCATGTGTACAAAGGTTGGCTGAAACTATTGAAATAAAATCAACGAAATCCAATCAGAAATATGGTCAATTTTTTGCATGCCAATTTTCAAGACGCTACTCGATAGTTCGCAAAGTGTCGCGTTCTACCTTAAGTGCGGATTTAAGTTATTAAAATTGGTTCAAATACGTTAAATGTAAATAAGAATTTAGGTGGTAACATTTTTCCTCAAATAGTGGATAATACCGATACATTTGTTTAAACGAAATTAAATATGTGTTTAAAAGAGGGAAATGACATTCATTTTTGGTCATAAATCATGAAACAAAGATTAAAAAGAGGGTAACATAAACTTTGCTTTTATTAAGGAAATTCCATTTTTTTATATGAATAAAAAAACTGATAATCTGGATCAATTAAATATGTTAATCGGGAAAAAGACCATGAAGTCATAAGCACCGTTAATATACAACTATTTGATTCCTACTCCGTTGCTCGCGACCACTTTTCCTTATTCGACATCAGTTCTGGTTAGTTCAAATAAGCTACGCGTTTTTTTTAAAAATTAAGCTAAAAGAAATGTTTAACTAAAATATGGAAAAAATTAAGCATCTTGAGGTTATATTATAATCACTTGTTAAGGCAATAACTATACTTTATGTTATGTCCTTTCGTGTTTTATTTGTTGAGCTATACGTCGCACCAATAAAGTTAAGGTAATATGGCATTTTTCAGTTTTAATGGTGGAGGAAGACCTTAGGTGCCCTTCCGAGTATTATTCCAGGCACGAATTGGTCAGTTCTTGAGAAATTAAAATAATAATAGAAGTGCATGAGAGCTCCCAACTGTAGTCTTTAATTTAATATATTTATCGCTGTGGGTTTTTGCCATTTTGAGCTTTCTATTGGGATTCTATTTCATTTCGATCAAAAGAATCAGATGTCATCTTGTACCTGTACATATAGGTACTCAAAGTCTTTCTCTATTCGGTAAAGCTAGAAAGTCATATAACATTTACAGTGTTGGTATGACTTATCACCTACCGAATTTAATTAGTTGTCGAGTATCTTTCTTAAAATACATAACGGAAATTTATTGAGTTATAGTTTTATTGAGTTATAGTATTATATATATATTCATAAATATTGGTAAACATGCAAAGGGGGTACAAAATTGGAAGAGGGAGCGGGGTGGTTGAGAAAATACCTACTTAATACCTACATAATAAACACATGGGGTTTGTTCCAATCTATAGCATGGGCCATATGTGGTCTCCCGAAAGGTAAGTAGTTGTAATTAATCAAAGTAAAGCTAAAATGAATATCATTTGAAGATTCAAATTAATGCAAATTTCAGAATAAATCTTACACTGAATGCTTTAAAACTATATTCATGGTAACATATGATTATGCTTTTCTTTTTCAGATACAGATATGGAATTTCAAATATGAGACGCAGTGAGAGAATAAGTTAATACATATATATATTTTTGCCAGGGTGAAATAAAACCTAGGGTCCTATTTAAACAACTTCCATGTCCACTTTCTGGAAACATGGTCGGTACATCAAATGGCAAAATCCAATGGGCTGGCATGCAGACAAATGAACCAGTAAGTCTAGAAAAAGGGATGATCTCTCGGAAGAACCGAAAGCAACGATATTATATGAACATTGCAGACAGTTTAATCGGGTCTGTTCATGACAGATAATTAAAAGTGCACAATCTCTGACACCCACCAACACCGGCTTTTAAAGCAGTATTTAATCCTCAACACTAATGTGCTGAAATCATTCACCCCACTAAGCCACATATTCTTTGAAATAATGCAGTTAGAACGTGCGCGACATTCAGTAAAATCAGTGAATTTCACTAACAAAGTCTGTAACGTAATATTATTAGTAATCAAATTGAAATATACACTTTATATAATTACATCAGATTCTATCTGCTATATGTAAATTATTATGAATCTGTTGCTATACGTACGAATGCCGTAGTGTTATAAGCATTATCAAACGCTGTTTGCTTACTTGGTTTAGCAAGAAATACATGATCATAAGTTTGTTTGCTATCAATAACGAGCTTGTTGTATATATTGAATTCACTTTCTTTAGAAGTTTTATCTGTGTCTCTAGAAATGTCATGATTCGAAGGCGTTACAATTTCTAAAGGTTTTTCAAGTACATAATAATCATGAGCTGTTTTGATTTTACTTGGATTATTGTCATTTTGCTCTAAACCTGGTTTACTTATAAAGTCATCAATACGTTCATATTCAGAATTATTTCCTTCATGTTTATCTTGTCCGCAAACTAATTGTATTTGCGATTTCTCTTCTTGTTTGACATTGTCAGGACATATTTGCATATGATTCTCGTTAACGTGTTGATACGCTTCATCATACTGATTGGCTCGATTTTGACCAATTGTTTCGTAAGCACGTGAACGACGAATGTTCTCATCATTTGCAGTGAATGATATAACAGGGTTATCATAATGCGAGCTATTTCTCCTCAGGTTCTTGTGTCTACGTTTCTTTCTGAAAAAAATTGATTCTTTGAAACAGTGTCGAGTGAAGCTAGGATATTTATTATAGTACACTGCTAATTTACATTGAATTGGGAGAAAATGATTTTGTTGGTTGCTTTAGACAATTTTGATAGAATTTTGGGTTTTACTTTGGAAAGTATTGTTAGATCTGTTGAAATGAGCTCACTTCTATAGAGAGGATCTGTTAGCACAGATTTCACTTTATATCAAATGATCTTTTCTACAATGAAGTGATCACCGTTTTACCCTTTACTTCATATAGACGTGTTTTACGGCTTTTCGACCCTCCCCCTTTTGAGGTCTCAAACAGTGAAAAATTGCCCTATTTAGGCCCAAAACACTGTTTTTCGTTTGGGAAATGTTGCTAAAAAGAGATCACTTTTTCGGCGCCGCCGCCTATCAAAAAGGTACATGAGGGGGTTGCCAGAAGGGGGATGTACCCCCTTCTGTTTGGGGAATTTGAATGGGGGCGGTATTCCCCCTCATCGCCAAGAAAATTTTGGACTTGTGAGAGACTAAATATGACCCCAGGTCGATCATAAGGTAATGTGTAACCAACGCTGAAAAGCCTTTGACTCTTTCTCAATTGAGAAGTTGCAACACTTTGAAATCAATTTTGATGGAAAAAATCATCGCAAAATAATGATTTTAGGCAATTTTGAGATGTCCCCTCGTTGCCATGGTAACAGGAAATTTAAGACTGAGCATGTCGTTACAAACGCAATGGCCCAGTCAACATTTTATGCAAAGTTTTTATTAGTATTGAAGCATTTTATATGGTTTCATAGCAGTTTGAACTTGTAACAGGAGGCTTTTCAATGAAACCGGCCATTTTTCACAATATGCTCATGAGGGAAAGGGTTAAGATATATAACAAAAAAAAAATGAATACAGTTTTCTATTGTTATATTTATTCATTGTCATATGGCATGCAATAAAAATAGCGACAACATTAATAGCAAACATACCTTCGACAAATCAACGCTATGGAAATCGCAACCATGACAGTCACCAAAACAGCGGCTGCACTAACAACTGTATACATAAACATACCAAATTCTGGTGTTTCTGCAAATAAATTATTAAATATCAAAGCATACTTTAATCACAAAGTTAAAATGATAGCAATGATATTTTTAATTCATTAACTTTGATTTAAATGTTTAATACATTCTCGTTTAGAAAGCAAAAATAAACATCAGACATCATGAAAAATGCAGAACATTTATTTACACCTTTGTCTAATTTATATCATTAAAGAACTGAGGTCCAAAAGCCATAAACATGAAATTTGATTTTTTTACACAGATCAAATGCCATGGGGCACTTAAAATACAAAGTTTTGCATAAGTAAGAAATATACTCAATTATCAACTGAAAACCGTCTTTTTGTGCTTTTCTTAGCTCGATTTGAGTAAAAGATGTTGTAACGCTGGTTCAGAAATAGTGTTCCCTTTAATATGTCTCACAAATCAATGCTCCTTTTAGTATGCATCTATACTATTTTTGTCAATAACATACTAGTACAGTCAAACCTTTGTGAAAGACACCTCAAAGTAAAGTTCACCATGTAAATAAAGACCATTTTGCTTTTCACTCACCATTTACTTCTTTGGGACTAGGTTTTTTAGTGCAGAGAATCTTGTTCAAAATCGTTCCATTCTTAGTAAAATTCAGCACAATTTTTTCGTCTTGCTTTTGCACATACCCATATTGAATTATTCCAGAATCAACTGAAAAAAATCAAAGCTGTTGTATGTAACATTCTATTAAAACATGTCGTAAAATATCTTTCAACTAACTAAATGTTATAGTACATCCTACAACTTATTTAAACGAACTGGCAGTAAAAAGAGGGGTAAGAGTAATTCAAGACATGTTTTACCATAATTTATCTCCGTTAACAATTGACCTAACTAATTTGACGTTGTAATATTTTTCAACATGTTGAAGCAATGCAATAGTAAGCAAAGAAAAGAGCAGTATCTTGCTGTTATACATTTGACTATATCAAAATATCAACAATCCTCGAAGAAATTATTTAGAAATACAGACGTTCATAGCTATATATATATTCACAGAATTATCAGTTTCTTAAAAAAGATATTAACGCTATAGTCAAGATAAAACAAACTTACATATATCAGATGACTGCATTAAAGAGATGATGACATAACTCCGTATAAAACTTGTCCACGCCTGTGACATTCTGTCATTATAAGCGCTACAGTTTTTTACACGTAATGGTAAGCCTCCATTTGAAAAACATTCGTTCGTATTTCTAATCCATGACATATTTAGCCCATTTGAAGATGTCGGAATACAAGTCGGGCCTGAAAAAAAAACACACAAGAAAAAGGAACAACAACAAAAACAAAACAAAAAAGAAGAAGAAAAACAACAACAACAACAATAAAAACAGAGGTTATTCAGGGTATTTAGCAAGTTTAAATCCAACAAATAAGAATATCCATCATCTTTGAATGTACATTTCTTATTAGCATTTGTCAACTGGTGTAATATCTTCACTTAGATTGATATCACAATGTTTTAAATTGAAATATGTTTCAATTAATGTTTCAACGGGACAAGGCCAACAATCAATGCTCACCCTATTTTTCATTTCATTATTCAACGTTTGACAACGTTTCGATTTCGTCTTTATTTCTATGACAGCAATAAAAACATAAATACAGCAAAACAATGGAGGATAAAACATATCACTACGGTACTATAAGTAATTTAGTTATCCTATCCTATTTATCATTTAATTGCATTTACATACCGAAGTCACATACAACTAACATCTTTTCTGAACATTTGTCCCAAGCAAAGGTATTTTGATCCCGATCAAGCCGCAGACAATGTGCATCTACATAATTTCTTGCGCTAATATCTTTTGCTTCTAAAAGAAAGAAACAATACTAAAAACATTGGTACACTCGTAATGCGTATCTTGATCGGAGGTTAATTTGAATATTTATTAACATTGAAAGCCATGGCAGATGTATTCATACATTGACTTGCTCAGTGTATTTTGTTTAACAAACCTTTTTTTGTCATATTGTGTTTTAATTGAAAAGAACAAACTATAGATTGTCGCATATGTTTATGATACGCTTCCTAGTTGTACTGTTTAGAAACATCTTGGGATAGTAGCAGATACTTTATGGCTGTTTGAGTGATTTTCCCTTTCATTTATGATATATTTTGTTGTCAAAAGTTATTTTTCATTTGGTGTAGAGGGTAATTAAGAAATTCTTAAGATTGCGTAAGATTGAATAGATCTCAAGGTTTCATCTTTGGATGAATTCAGTATATATGATATATGTCAAGAATGTGGATCTTATTGAAATGACATATGCCATCCTAAGGAGGCAAGGGGAAAAGAAACAGGGCTGATATCGTTTTCAGACAGTAAAATGTTTTTCTTTTTATAAATAGTCCCCCGGGGTTAGCATTGGTTTTACTATTTCAATTGTAAAACATTGTGCCGGTTTAAATTACAAAGTAACTAAATTGAAACTGAATGAATTCAAATTGTTTCGAAATAGGGAACCTGATTGTATTTCAGTGAGCAAACAAAGAGGCATATCTTGATACGTTGAATTCTCTACCACTTTCAAGGCTAATATTTATGCTATGCCATTTATTTTTTACTAACATTCTTACATTGTTTCTTATCTTACTAATTCATTCACATAAACCCTTGATAATATAATCTGTTGAATACATGTAATGGATTTGCCCTACTGTAAACTTGTAACAGTTTAAAGATAGAGTGATTCTAACATCAAGCTACAAACAGTATTCTGGCTTGGCGCTATACTCGTGGCAAATGCTAATTACTTTTGTTTCTTGCAGGTTAATAGACATATAATTGTAGTTTGTCAATTAATTGGTCAAAATATAGAAAGCGCAATCATACCTAGTTTGTGTTCTTTATAAATGGAAATATATTTTGATCCATTTTCCATTCGGTAACCACAAACAACTCCGCTTTTGGATTCACATTCCGTCGTGCAAATTGTATAATTTGACCGTAATGCCGACAAGGAACTTGAATCGTTTAAGCAAAAGCACTGAAACCAAAATAGACTTTAATGTATGTAAGCAACTGATACAATTTTATAGAAAAAATGTCTAGGGAGGAGATCAAATAACAAATTTTCTCACGCAATCTTCAGAAATATAACTTCCAAATATATAAAGCATTCGCCTGTTCAGATTTTACTGACATTATTCCCTGCGGTCTGGAGACCGCAGGGTATTGGTACGCGTTTAACTTTTGAGGCATGGAGGAGCACGTGACCTGTTTTCGGTACATGGAGGAGCATGTGATCTGTAAACCGTATATGATTGGTTAATTGACCTTTTCGAAAACCCAGCTAAATACCGTTTGCCGGTACGTTACGGATTTACCTGTAGGGAATTATTCCGATTATACATATTGAGAACAAAAATCTATTACGTGATATTTCTAATTTTCTATAATTATTTTACCGTTTCCTGAAGGTGGAAAAACTTGAATGATGTCTTTGAAAATTATCAATGTTTCTTCAATATCTATCTCAAATTTTACAAACAATAAATTGTTTACACTGACAATCTACAAAATTAAAATATTCGTAGTGGCATCTGCCATAATAAATAGAGATATTTTCGGCGTAAATTTGTGTGTTTACTTTATTTATTTTTTGCTCGGAATTATTCATAAAATGGTAGGCCTATATAATCATTTTCTTAAAAAGAAATAATTGTTTTATGTTCGACCTTCCCCGGTCTTCAACGGTCACATACAGTTTCCAAAGACCTTCTTCTATATTGTTCGATTATTGTCAACTATGTTCCTGTTACAAACGTTTATTTATCCCCCCCAAATAATGTTGAAAATAGTTAAATGAAATATCTTTATATCATTAAAATGTTCACCGCAGGAAACCATTTTACTTGTATCTATCTCATGTATGTCATCAGAACCATAGGAACTCGAGAACGGGACCGCAGATTGCGGCGTATATTTTCGATCGTGTAACGGTTTTTAAAAACGTTTCTGCTACATCTAAATATCTTTTAGTATTATCCGAGTGTACGGACTCAAAAAATATATTATCAATTGAACCCAATCTGTCTCTTTTAAAACTGGTCAAATTTTACGGTATTATAAAAAAGACAAGGAGTGACATCCGCCATTTGCCGCAACGTTTTCGGCATGAGTTTTCCCCCTTTGGCTACAATTGATTACTATTTTTTTTAGAATTTTGTTCCCGTTATTTTTGTCAACTATCAGGTATCGTCCGGATATAACGTTAACGGTTTATTGTTTACACGTGTTGACATGTATAGGCGGCATTATATCGGGTGTATTCGTGTTTTGATTTGTTAACATGGAGAAAACAGACACTTTAGTAATATGGTCAAACTGGTTTTGCCTAACTGAAAAAAGGAATATTAAAACATGATCCATAGATAAATATTTTAGGCACTCATCTGGTATTCATTACTAGAAAAATTTAAACAAAAATCAAGCATATCAAGGGGATAACTTACGCCGAACGTTGCGGCAAATGGCGGATGTCACTCCTTTTCTTTTTTCAATATACCGTAAGTTTGACTGATTTTTAAATTAGCAGATTATATTAAATTGAGATTAGAGAATTAAAGACCACCCGCTCGCATAATATAAAAAGATATTCAAAGGTCGGACAAACTAAATGTAAAGCCGGTACGGATTCGGATTTATGCGCCGCAATATGCGGTCCTGTTCCAGAGTTCCTATGATCAGAACGGTAACAATTGACCACAATCTAGTTTTTCAACCAGGTGAACTACCAACTGACCTCATTTCCTGACACTCCCACGGTTGACCTGTTATGACACACATCAAAGCACTGTCCTGGACTTACAACTTCAACTTTCTCAGATTGGAGGATACCCAAAGATTTCTGCTGAAAACATCCTGTAAAGAAACAGACACAACTGTTATTTGATATTCCTAAAATCTTTCTATCAATTATTTTTAATTTTAATCGATAGCATTGGTTGCAATGTGGTCAAAATTACTGTCTCTGAACCATTTGTCCTATCCCTTGTCACTGTGGGTCTGAATACGTCGAAGGGCTTTAGACTATTCGTGTCAAGCAGCTATCCAGCGAGCGCAAAAGAGGTCGATTGTTCTCCTCGGTTTCCTATTGGTTGCCATAATAATGCCATTAGGGGTACGGGTGATTTTTTGCAATCAGCAAAGATGGAAAGTCGTCTAATTAACTTAACACTAAACTAAATATATTGTATTTAAATGTTATGATACTAAAAGTTTGTTACGCCGATTTTGACTGGATAATCGCCTCGTTTGTATAACCAATAAACACGCTGTAGCAAATATAAAAACTATTTTTCATTTTCATTCAAATAAAAGCATTTTATTGTATTGTTATCTGTTGTAATACTGCGCGTTTGTAACATCGATTTTCATTGGCCAACCATGGCGTTTATGTAATTTATATACACGTCTGCTGAAAATAATCATAATTTATTACATTCTACTCAATAAAAAAAACAACAGATATTATCGCTGTGTGACAATAGCGCGTCTGAGCGTCACATATCATATAAACTGACCTCCGTGTTTAAATTGGTTCTAAAATGTGTGAAAACATTTTTAAACTAATAATATTCCCCATTGATGACAATGATATGTTGAAACCGAAAACAACCAATTTTAATGCGTTTCAGTTTTTACTTATATATTGTACTATGACTTTAGTTGTTTTATTCTATTGTTTAGAAATTAGCTATAGTGCTCGTATTATATATACATCCAGTTTTAAGATGCATTGTATAACAAATTGATATTTGTACCAGCCAGTGAAAAACAGTTATTCGCCTGAGTAGATGTTTGACATATTCTTTTGCGAATGTCAAATTGCCTACAAATTAAAGAGTTGTGTTTTCTGTTGTGTTTTAATTATAAAAGACACCGACACATTATCGCCAGTCTGTGTTCTAATGATATAATACATTAGAGCGGAACAAAATCTTAAAATCTTTCATAAACTTATACGTTTCATGTGTAGTTATTGTTATGGCAAATTTGAACGGTAACTAGGGTTTTGTATATAGTGTGTGAACAGGAAGATAATACAAAGTTTTTGTTCATAAAACAATTATAAAAAACAAGTTATTTTGGGTGTATATTATTTTGAAGTTAAGGTTGGTTTCGGTTTAATTTGATACAATTAACATCCGTCTTTAAGCCCAGTTTTTCAAATCTTAATCGTATGGTTAAAGACCTACTAAGACGACTATGTATTCATTTAGTTTGTTATGTATGATTTGATAAACCATTTGCCTCAGTCATTTATTAGAATGCCTCGAGTTATGTAAAGCACAATGCAAGAGTGTGTGATTACCAAAGCACAGTCAACCAAATTAAAATTGGTTAAAATAATATGCAGAACTATCTTTTAAGTTAAACTATTAGCAATATATTGATGTTTGAAAGAATACCACGAAAATGTTTTGTTTTTTTTAAACATGAGAATTTTTATGTTTTTCAAAAAATATGAGCTTAAATACATAAGATTTAAAATCTTACATAGACCAACTGAGGCACAAAGAAGGAAAAAACAACAACAACAACACCAACACCCCCGCCAAAAAAAATATATATAAAAAATTAAAATTTATTTTAAAAAATTATACTAAAATTACTACTGATAGTATATCAAACTATATTCTAATTTCGCTCTATAATATTGATTGTTTATTTTTAGATAATTACCAATATAATCGAAAGACTTTTGCGTCTTGATATATCCAACCCAAGCATGCTCAGTGTCTGAGAGTGAGATGTTGGCATCTACAACAATTCCGGTTGATGTTTGTCGAATAGGAGGAACAGCAATTGAACATTTGTTATATATATTCGCCCATTGTGAAGATATGTTAGATACAAGATAGCTTTCTGCGCATTCTGAAACTAAAATAGGAATGATTTTTAGACAATTCTCATAACAGCTGTATGTTAAAGGCCCATTTTACCTTAGATATGCTTTTATTTGTATTGCTCAAAAGCTTTTTAATTTTGGTGTACTTTTATTAATTTTATTCTCTTTCTATCTCTCTTTTTATTCTCGGATAAAAAGTCATTTAAAAGTATGCAAATGTATATATTTTAACTTTTTTCATATTTTGTTTATCTAGATAAGAATATTTTCTGAAAAAAAATACAAGTTTGAATTTATTGATTTTAATATTATTATATAAATATGATTTATACGATATATCGTCCATCACTTACCATGAAAAACTGAGAATAAAATGAATATATTCCAAAATGTCATATTTCTCCAATATATATGACTATACAAATGTAGAATTAAACCCTGACCGAACTATAATTACGTTTAAATATTTTCCTTGTAAGCGAGTCAGTTTTAATCTTAAAGTACACATTCAAGTAGGATGTAAAAATTATCAATAGAATAGGAAACAAGTACGCAGCACCTTAAGTATGTATCACAAACAGCGTCAATTTAATGATTTAATTTAAAATATTATTTTAAATAATGCATGTATCACATGAAATAATGAATGTATTTCCTTCCTCACTTTTGATAACATGACAAAATTATTTAAAGAATACACGATAAAGCAGTCATGTGCATGTACTTATCATGCTTAATAAGTCACGGAAAACCAATAGTGCTATACCAAGTTGCATTACGTGGCAAGCCAAGCATAATTAATTTATTTTAGAAACATTTACAATTAATACCGTGATGTTGAAATTATTTCTTACTGATTTCTTTATATGACTGCTGAAACTAAATGTGGTAGTAAGTTCGTATAAAAAATCACCATATCAAGCACTGCTAAGATTTGATGTGAAAGGTGATGCTTTACATTCCCAGCCATTTTACCAATTTTTTGTATACAATGATTAGAAAAAAGGTCATGGAATATGCTTTATCTTTTTAATATTTAAGTTTTGATATTTACGAAAGCCTAATAGTGTCAAATGAAATAAAAAATAAAAATACAAAGGCGTTATAACGCGAATAAAGGCGTTATTACGCGAATTAAAAGGCGTAATAACGCGAATAAAGGCGTTATAACGCGAATCAAAAGGCGTAATTACGCAAATCAGAAGGCGCAATAACGCGAAAAAAGGCGTAGCAACGCAAATAAAGGCGAAGTAACGCGGATAAAGGCGTTATAATGCGAATCAAAAGGCGTAATAACGCGAATCAAAAGGCGTAATAACGCGAATAAAGGCGTAATAACGCAAATCAAAAGGCGTAATAACGCGAATAAAGGCGTAATAACGCGAATAAAAGGCGTAATAACGCAAAATCAAAAGGCGTAGTAACGCGAATAAAGGCGTTGTAACGCGAACCAAAAGGCGTACTAACGCAAATTAAAACGCATTATAATGCCAATTTAATACCATATTTATACTAATCAAATGGCCTAGTAACGTGAGAAAGCAAGACCAATATTGATCTGAATTTATTGCTCAAGATATAAACTCGTAAAGAATAATATAATACACATTTACAATATCTAACATTCCGATTTTGCGCAGTAATAATGCAAACTATTTGTCATAAACTAATGAAGACTCTTTTATATTTGCCAATTTAAGGTGTCTTGGTTCCTTATAGGTCCATTGGACTGGACGTTAATACAGTTAATCTGAATTCACATGTATCACATATTGATTTTGCACATGTCACTATAGTAAATGAATTTCTTTTCTTATCTTATCTTATCTTATATCTTATCTTATCTTATATGTGCGTCATATGTTCAATTATCTTCGGATATATCCTATTTGTTTACCTTATAACATCTAGCATCTTCTAATTATGTGAATGCCATTCCTAATTAAGCTATAGGTAATAGGCTATAGGTAACAAGATTTGGGAAAACGTAAGGTATAAGTTAGTCACATTAGGGTGATTATTGATAAGTATGTTTAAATGGGGGATAGTGTTTTAGTTAAGTCACAATAATAGGAGACATTGCCTTCTTTGTCTATGTAGAAAAGTATCTATAGTTGGGTGATAGTTAACCTCTAATCTGACGAAAGCATTTCCTAATAAAAGATTTAAAAAATCAGACTGTGGCCTTAAGACAGAATTGAAAATAAAACGTTCGTATTGATCGATTTATTTAGATCAAATTGTTCTTCCTATCTTACATTACTAGGCCACTGTTTGGAATTTATATGGTATTAAATAAGCGTTATAACGCCTTTTGTTTTGCGTTATTATGCCTTTTGATTCGCGTTATTACGCCTTTTGATTCGCGTTATAACGCCTTTATTCACGTTATTACGCCTTTTGATTCGCGTTACGACGCCTTTATTCGCGTTAGTACGCCTTTTGATTTGCGTTATAACGCCTTTATTCGCGTAATTACGCCTTTTGATTCGCGTTAAAATGCGAATAAAGGCGTTACTACGCCTTTTGTTTCGCGTTATAACGCGAATAAAGGCGTTACTACGCCTTTTGAATCGCGTTATAACGCCTTTATTCGCGTTAGTACGCCTTTTGATTCGCGTTATAACGCGAATAAAGGCGTAACTACGCCTTTTGTTTCGCGTTATAACGCCTTTATTCGCGTTATTACGCCTTTTGATTCGCGTTATTACGCGAATAAAGGCGTTACTACGCCTTTTGTTTCGCGTTATAACGCGAATAAAGGCGTAACTACGCCTTTTGTTTCGCGTTATAACGCCTTTATTCGCGTTATTACGCCTTTTGATTCGCGTTATTACGCGAATAAAGGCGTTACTACGCCTTTTGTTTCGCGTTATAACGCGAATAAAGGCGTTAGTACGCCTTTTGATTCGCGTTATAACGCCTTTATTCGCGTTAGTACGCCTTTTGATTCGCGTTATAACGCCTTTATTCGCGTTAGTACTCCTTTTGATTCGCGTTATAACGCCTTTATTCGCGTTATTACGCCTTTTGATTCGCGTTATTACGCGAATAAAGGCGTTACTACGCCTTTTGATTCGCGTAATAACGCCTTTATTCGCGTTAGTACGCCTTTTGATTCGCGTTATAACGCCTTTATTTGCGTTAGTACGCCTTTTGATTCGCGTTATAACGCGAACCAAAAGGCGTAATAACGCAAATCAAAAGGCGTAGTAACGCGAATAAAGGCGTAGTAACGCGAATCAAAAGGCGTAATAACGCGAATCAAAAGGCGTTATAACGCGAACATAAAGGCGTAATAACGCGAACCAAAAGGCATAATAACGCGAAACGAAAGGCGTTATAACGCTAATTTAATACCATATCAATTCCAAACCGTGGCCGTATGATGTAAGATAGGAAAGAACAATGTTGATTGAAATGAATTGATCAAGATGTACTTTTTTATTTTCAATTATGTACGGATACGTCCTAAGGCCACAGTCTGATTTTTTTTAAATCTTTTATTAGGAAATGCTTTCGTGAGATTAGAGGTTACTATCACCCAACTATAGATACTATTCGATAAAGACAAAGAAGACAATGTCTCCTATAATTGTAACTTAACAGAAACACTTTTTACCCCTCTAAGCATACTTATCAATAATTAGAGATACTTTCACCCGAATGTGCCTTACGTATGCCTTACGTTTTTTCCAAATCTTGTTACCTATACCCAATTACCTATAGCGTAATTAGGAACGACATTTACATAATTAAAAGATACTACAGGTTATTAAGTAATTATACAGGACATATCCGTATACAATTGAACATATGACGCACATATAAAATAAGAAAGATATAAGAAAAAAATAGAAATTCATTTACTAAAGTGAAATGTGTAAAATCAATGATGTGAATTCAGAGTAACTGTATTGACATATAACCCAATGGACCTTTAAGTCTCCAAGTCACCTGATATTGACAAATATCAAAGAGTCTTTATTAGATTATTACAAATGGTTTGCAATATTACTGCGCAAATGGAATGATAGTTATTGTAAATGTATATTATATTATTCTATACGAGTTTATATCTTGTGCAATAAATTCAGATCAATATTGTTTTTCCTTTCCCACGTTACTAGGCCATTTGATAAGTATAAATACGGTATAAAATTGGCATTATAATGCGTTTCAATTTGCGTTATTACGCCTTTTGGTTCGCGTTACTACGCCTTTATTCGCGTTACTACGCCTTTTGATTCGGGTTATTACGCCTTTTGCTTCGCGTTATTACGCCTTTATTCGCGTTACTACGCCTTTTGATTTGCGTTATTACGCCTTTTGGTTCGCGTTACTACGCCTTTATTCGCGTTACTACGCCTTTTGTTTTGCGTTATAACGCCTTTTGGTTCGCGTTATAACGCAAATAAAGGCGTTATTACGCCTTTTAATTCGCGTTATAACACCTTGATTCGCGTTAATACGCCTTTTGATTCGCGTTATTACGCCTTTATTCGCGTTATTTCGCCTTTTGATTCGCGTTATAACGCCTTTATTCGCGTTACTTCGCCTTTATTTGCGTTGCTACGCCTTTCTTCGCGTTATTACGCCTTTTGATTTGCGTAATTACGCCTTTTGATTCGCGTAATAACGCCTTTAATCGCGTTATTACGCCTTTTGATTCGCGTAATTACGCCTTTATTCGCGTTATAACGCCTTTGCATTTTTATTTTTTATTTCATTTGACACTATTAGGCTTTCGTAGATATTACTTTTGTAGCACATTTGACTCTCCACTGCAGCTTAAATTTGTTTAAAGCCGCATGACTCCAGATGCGCCAAATATAATTAATTTTATTTATCAAGATAATTAAGCTGAAGAACGATGTACTGAGATTTAAAGAAAAATGAAAAAAAAATATATTCGAGTAATGTCATGTGTAATTACAAACAGATTTTGCAATATTTATCAAGTGCTATTTTATTTTGACCACTTTTAAATACACTAAAAAATCATGAAATAATGCATGAATCTGGAGGCGTGCTGCTTTAAGATCTTCATCACTTTGGAAAAGATACTTTTCAAAACTCAATGTACTTGAAGAACTGACGAAAGGCGACTTTTTTGCAAAATTGTTTTTTTGATATCACTGATTATTACTTAAAGATTCCACTCGAAGAATCAGTTCCTTGTAAGGAAAACAGTTCTTCTTTAAGCAATGCAAAGCAAACTCTATTCTACATTATGACAATCCCTAACGGCGACCCCGGCAAGGTAAGCTACTGTACTTATCAGTAGTAATTCGGTCATTATTGCTGCAAATTTTTTCATGCACGTGAACGAATTATTCAGTATTCTTATGTTCTTATGAAACTTAAAAATTAAGAAAAAAAAATCATTTCATTATTAATTTTATGTTCTAAATTACTTAAGTAACGTTGAATTTTATTCCTGCGGGCATGAATTTAGATTGTTGTTCTTGGGCCCATGCAAGTGGAGACGACGAGATATATCATCTCGTCACACACA